TGGCCCCACATGCCATTATTGGAACAAATCAAATACCTTTTAGCACTGCTGACTACTTAACAACTGCATGTACTTTATAGTACTCTCTCTTGAATGCATCAACTTGCCTTTTTCTGATTGGAAGCCACACAGCATTGAGGGCTTGGTACCAGCTATGAGACTGAATTTGCCAGCCTGGTTTGAACTTTTAGATGAAACTTTTTCTAATAAAGAAGTTCAGCTCAGAAACGTTTTGCCAGCCTGTAAAAACCAGTAGCCTTCCTGCTGAAAATGTTTATGAAACCTCTGCACTAAGAAATTGAGACGATTTCTTCTAATCAGTTAAAGAATGGTTTACAAGTAGGAGCTTTGACTTTGTTTTCTCGTTTTTGAAAAGGTTGTCCTCTCACAGAATGGCCTGCTTACAACAGTAGCTTATAAGATGGGACCTGACCAACCTACAGTCTATGCATTAGAGGTGAGTACAAAAACATTATACTTATGAATGGCAGTGAGACTGATCTTGGAAAGGGACTCTGGTCAACCATATGAAGGAAGAGCTAATACTGCAATAACACTTGTGGCTGCAATGATAATCATAGTTATGCCAAGCCTAAGTCCGTTACAGCCAACTGTTGATTACTTGACCTTGTTGGAACCCCTACATCAAGGGATGCCCAGGAATTGGAATTGGGGCAGAATATGGTGAAATAATACTTTGAAAAAGAAATGAAACTTGTGCTCCACACTAAGTACTTCAAACAAGCCTTATTCTTAAGGTATCCAGTGTCATTGGCTCAAAATATCAAACAAAGTACTTTGGCTGTGTTTAAATCAATTTTTTTTATCATTTATTTAGTTCTCACCAAACTGATGAAAACATTTTTTGTCCTGGCTGAATGGTTTATTGGTGTGAGGTATTAATTTGAGAATACATCGGTACTCAACCAATCATATTTCAGACTGAAATTTTTCAACCCATAATATTGTGTCAACATCTTTGAAATGTTGTATTACAGGGTTCCGTTGCTATCACTGGAGCAGCTGTCAAATGGTTAAGAGATAACCTTAATCTTATCAGCAAGGCATCAGAGATTGGTAAGATAGACATTGTCATATAAAGGTAGTATATAGCGTAAAGTGGACCTTGTATTTTTCACTGTGTAAGGATTCTTAATAGAATTCCAGCACATTGATAATTAATAAAATCTGTCACCATATACCAGTAGTCTAGGTTTAAAGATGACATGAATACATTGTACTCATAGCTGATAGGACTAGATGCTTTGGAGCAATTAAGTGATATACAGTATTTCATCATGAGTCGTGGTTGCCACAGACATCACTTTTCAAAATTACCTGATTTTTCCCTGATAAAATAGCATTTCCGCGAACAAAAAATACAAAATGTCAGATCTAGTAGTGGCCTCTAGCATGAACTTACAGCTGCCCTTTCTACTCATTCATTAATGCAGATACGTTTTCAGCAAATTTCCTTCTTCATTAAGGAAAAATATCGTTGAGATCACAGCAGTGATCCTAAATGTTTCTTCCAGTCTTCAATGGTATTAAATCAATTTTCCCTGACTTTTCTTTGAAATGTCAATTTTTTTCCCAACTCAAAATAAAATTCCCTGACCTTGAAGAATTTTTTCCTGACCATTTCTTGACCTGTGACAACCCTGTAAGTTGTCACAGATTGTAAGCTGGCCCATGAAACATGTATTTTAAAGCTAAAAATTAAACCATCCTGTGCAATTTTTTCCCGAGCTCTTGCCAAGAACTGGCAAGTTTTTTACCACCGAGTTTTTGATGAGCTCACTTCTTGCCAAGATTTGCAACACACAATAATCATGACAAGCTCCCAGCCAAGCAACCTACCAATAAAAAAATGAAAATGACCAACAAGTCAAACTAAACGACACTGTTTATTACTTTAACAAACATTTTCATGCAGAAACCTTGGCTGCCAGTGTAGACAGTACAGCTGGTGTGTACTTTGTTCCTGCATTCTCTGGCCTTTATGCACCATACTGGCAAACAGATGCTAGAGGGTATGACTGTTTTTAATAATACTCAATTATAATAATCCTGCTGTTAAACCTGTCAATGAAGGCTTTCAGCCATATTGGTGTCCAGGCATCCTGTGAATGCCCTCTTTTTTGAGAGTACAGTAGAACCCTGGTAACTCGAACTCTGAAGGGAAACGAAAAACTGTTTGAGTCGGCGGGGTTTCAAGTTATCTGGGTCGATGAAAATATTCAATTTTCCAGGTTAATAATTAATAATTTATTGATTTTCAGCAAATTATACTTACTTCACGAGAAACAAATACATTTTGTAACAACTGTAACAATTATGTATTCTTACGACATTGCAATACTGTGAATGTAACTTAGTTTATTTAATACACTCAATGATCGGTAAATAACTGTCAAATACATGATCTCTTCATTGCACTCCAGTCTTTTTTCTAGTGTTAGAATTCGATCACATGATAAGAAAAGCTAATGGGATATCTCAATCGGCATCTGTGGCGAGTTTTAAGAACCAGAAATTTGAGTTATCGCAGTAAATTTTGATCAAAGGAAACAGAATTTAGTTTAAGTTAACGGGGTTTGCAAGTTATCCGAGTTGGACTTAACCGAGTAAAAATGACTGAAAAGTTGGGTCAAATTCAAGGGAATTGAGACTCAGTTAAAGTTAGCGGGGGAGTTCGAGTTATCTGAGTTTGAGTTACCGGGGTTCTACTGTATATGCATACGTGTAGTCTCCCCATTGTGATTCTACTGTTTATCTTGTTTAGGGTTATCATCGGACTGACTCAGTTTACAAACAAAGCACACATAGCAAGGGCTACACTTGAAGCAGTTTGTTTTCAGACGAGAGAGGTAAGAGCCAGAACTGGTGCAACAACCCGACTTGTTATTGAGTGAGACCCTGTTTGGAGGCAAAGGAGGGGGTTGGTATTTCCCATCTGGGTTTCTCATGTCACAATTTTAGAAGGTCCTTATATCACTGTCAGAACTTAGAACTACACAGGTCATGTTGTTCATTGTCAGTTTGTTGACTTCTAATGACCCTGTTTCAACACCATGTTGCATGTCGGGATTTTATCTTAATGATTAACAGAGCCTAGCTCTCAAGTGGACCAAATCATGCTAAATGTTATGATAGTCTATTCCTTTTCATATAATCTTGCTCTTTTCAAAAAAAATATTATATCAATGTCTGATTCTATTTTTGAAATGGTAGCTCTTGGATGCAATGAACATGGATTGTGGGATTCCTTTGGCATCTCTCCAAGTTGATGGTGGAATGACAGTGAACAACTTGTTGATGCAACTTCAAGCTGATATCCTGGGAATTTCTGTAGGCAAGTAGAGGGGTTTTTTTCACAAATAACAGCAGCTGTTACTTGAAATTAAACTATATGCACAGTTCCCAGTCATCATATTTCTAAGGGTATTTTCTTTTTTTGTTTCTGGTCAATGGTAGTCCGCCCGACAATGCCAGAGACTACAGCCCTGGGGGCGGCAATGGCTGCAGGCATGGCCAAAGGAGTGGATGTGTGGACAATTAATCCAGAGGACAAGTCTCAAATAAACACTGATGTGTTTGAACCAGCTATTGATCCACATGGTAAGATCAACTTGTATGCTTGTTGGTGCATGTGTCACTGGGAAGGGGGGATGCATTAGGGGATTACGTCTGTCTTCAACCGTAGATAAAAAGATGTGTGGCTTACCAAGTCAGTGCTTAATTCCAGTTCCCATTGTGCAAAGCAACTAAAATTTTATTCTTCGGGGAACTATGGGAGTGAAAAGGTACCCTGGTCAATATCTTAATCCATATCCAATCCAGTAGCGACGGACTGCATTGCCCGGCAAGCCCTATTGTGGAATCCACAGGGTAGTAGATGGAGAGGGAGACCACGTAACAGGTGGAGAAGGGATACAGATTGCACCATCCATTCAAAAGGCTACACATGGACTGAGATAGAACATGTGGCCAGAGACAGGGGGGATTGGAAGCGATTCGTCAGTGGCCTATGCTCCAAAATGGAGTGAAATGGCTTTAGATCAGATCAGATCAGATATCTAATCCAGTGAACATAAAGCTGCAAGATTCATTTAGATTTTTACCATCATGAGGCTGGTGAGACCTGAGTTGGATAAGCATCCCATGCAGTCTTTCATGGGCAGTATGCAGTGTCATTTAACCTTAAACTAGTTAGGCTACATTTTCATTGTGGAAATCACACTTTTTTTTATGTTCAAAATAGATCGTGATCGTCATTACGCGAGATGGAAAAAGGCTGTTCAGAGAACAATGAAATGGGAGGTGAATGATGACGAAAACCAAGGTATTAAACAGAGACTTGTTAAGAGTAAAAATGTTTATGCTATGATCAGTGATACTAGATGTAGGTGGAAGTTGTGTTGCACACTTTTAATTTACAATAATGTAACAAAGCATGAAATTGTCCATTGCACATACCGTACATTTTAGTTGCTACATGTGTTCTTGAGTAATTCTTTTCTTTTACTTCAGTAATATAAAGCAACATAATGATTAACTAATTAACTAGCATATATGCATGGCACTGCTCAGTAGTTAGAAATATAATTGATAACTGAAAGAAAATTGTGGTAGGTTCTTTTGCAATTCTATTTATTGCAAACTGAACGTCACAGGTTTGATGTTTAGAAATAGAAAACTTCAGCGCATATCAATCAGGGCAGTTTTTCAGGAACTGTTGCTAATGTTGATATGTAATATCTGACTAACAAGTGACCTATGATCTATGTACATGTAACATGTCTTTAACTTTTTACCTTAATGATGTAGTCTTTTCTCAGTCGGTAAAGATAACCAGTTTTAATTAATAGAACTAAGACTGATTTCTGATAGTTAAATGTGAAGGAGCCTCATCCAAAGTTAGCTACTAGTAATCACTTGCTGATTGAAATTGCTAACCAACGGCAGCATAACAGCATAATTATTCAAACTCACATGTTAAACAGAGCATGGAAATTGCACAGGAGTATTTTAAAACGCATGAAAAACCAAGATTTATTGTTTCAAATTTTTCACACCACACTTCATGTTGTTTTAGGTTGAACATGCAAAAGGTGTTCACCCCAGAGAGGTTTCTTTGGAGGTCAGATTGGCTTGACTTTTTTCCATATTTGTTTTGTTGTTTCCCACATGTCTTTTAGTTTATTAGATTTATTTTTGTTTCTGTGTTATATGTCAAAGTCTTGTTGGAGGCCCAGTCTCAACAATCCCTTCTTTCATTTCATTTTGAATGTTAATTGAGGAACATAGCAGTCACAGTTCGTGTTTAGGATAGAGCAGTTTATGTTTGTGTTTTTAAGAAAAGGATAGAGCAGGGTGCAAAGAAAACCAATTTTCAGGCATTTTCCCAGTAAACTTCAAGGGCAAGTGAAAGAGAGAGTCCACAATCCACTTACCCCAGGCTATCAGATATGATTTTTTTTTTTTGCACATTGTAGAGCAGTTTGGTTTTTATTTGAAAAAAAAAAGCACTCGAGCTGATATCACAGTTCAATACTTTGTTATGACTGTATTTCAGCTACAAGCCTGTTGATCAAAGCTAGCAGCAAATTCTGAATAGAAGCTTGTATTACTATCTTTCAGTGAACAAACCAAACAATGCTTAGATGCCAGAATTCAAGCAAGGGCAGGGTGCAAACCACCTATTATTTACCTCTATACTTACTTTTTGATATATATATATATAAAGTGAACCTAAAGTGGTTAATCCTTCATCTTCAAAGTTAGTAATTGCCATGCAGCGCTGAAAATCAATCAAATACCTTTTCTTTGCGACCTTTTGGGGATAACAACTCAAAATCTGGGTAAATAACTTCATTATGTATTGGCAATTGGCAAAAGAGATGTTTTGACAGTTAGTAAATGACACAAGCTACTCTAAAAACTATTCTGAAAAAATTCCCAAGGTCTCCTAACAGTAGTTGAACCCAGTGTGATCTTCTGCACACTAGTCTACCAAGTTTAGCATATGCCATCATTCTTACTACGTATTTTTGTTATTTAGGATTCTGTTCAATGAGCTCTGCCATCTTGTGGTTTATTTTTTCAAAAAAATTAAGTGTCTCTACTGTTTATCTTCAAATGCTTGTGTTTTTTCCAAAAAATATCCATACCCTTAATACCATGAATTTTTTTTTTTTTTGGTTTGAACCCCCCTTGCCCACCACACCCATTGTAGTTTTTGACCTCCCCCCATCCACCTCAACCCTCCTGAAATTTCCAAAAACCTTCTAATGGGTGGCCTGGGTATGGATTCTTCTGGAACAAATTACTCGGCCATAAACATTCTATTGGGTTTGACTGAGATACTGGACATGTTGAATTTAAAGCTGTTATGTAATATTATTGTGGCACAAATCAATAAGCAAAACATTTTGAGCTCTGCACTGAAATCATTGTAAGTTGGACAAACCATTTCTCAGTGCACCCAAATGATAACATATCTATCCTGTGCATGTATTGCGTGCCTATTACACATGATATTTATTTAAGCATCATAGGCAAGCAATGCGTGCAGATTGTAGACATGATTATCTTTAGACTACATGGATTAGGAAACCACCTCCATCAGGATTGTTATCCATATTTTATTTAAAGTCGACAACTACCTAATTTTAATTAATTTTCTATTTTTTTTTTAAATTTTTTCTCTAATTTTAAGTTTGAAGCAACCAGGCCCAGATTTCTTTAAGAACTATTTTAATACAAGACGTAGTGACATCTTATTATACTTGAGGTTGCACAAATCTTTTTATTCATAAAATTAGGTTAGAAGTTGCAAAACATGTGTTTATTACAAGCGTTCAATTATTTTTTATTAGTAGTAGTACTTGATAAACTATTGGCAAATCAAGATTTTTATTCCTAGGCTGGTGAACTGACCCTGTTATCAGAAATAAAATAACAGGATTTTTCTTTTTCTCTTTCAGATTTACCAAAGTCTTCATCTGGCATTCTAGGACCTGCTTTATTTATATTTGGCAGTGTAGCCATAGGCTTGATAGCAGCAAAAATAAGATAGCAGAGACAAGAGAGAGTAGCATTGAATGATTTAATGTTAAATTATTATGAATATTATTTCTATCAAGAAATGCATCTATCAGAGTTTAGCCACAAAATGATTTAATATGCATGTGACATTTTTTTTTTGTTGATCACATATTGCATGTTCGAGTCTTGTCTCAGATAAACAAACAAGTAGTATTCTGAGCATTGAGATTTAGAATTAATTCCTGTTGGACTAGAACAGACATCATGACTGAGGTGGAAATCAATTTCTTTTTGCCAAAATTTAAGCCAGCTGTATTTGTTGACTTATTTTTCTACACCTGGAAATTGAATTTAACCTGCCCTTCTTCAAAGTCAAACTTAAGGTTGACCAGTAATATTAATGTGTACGTGTCAAACAATGTAGCATGTATCAGGTGGTATTTTGTAAAACTATACTCTTTTGTTATTTTGTGTTTTTAGATTTGAACTTAACTAAACTATCTTTTGGGATTAAAAGGGTTAAATAGATTATGTAACAGTTTTTAAGGTGGTGTCTATTTCCCCTCAGAATTCACCAACTTGTTAGTAATTTGTTTATCCTGTTTCTGTGTCCTGATGGTTCATCAGTTCTGGCTTAAGCAAATAAGAGTGTTGATGCTTAGTGTGTCTCAAGTCCTCTGTCTCTTGGGGCATTATGTTTTTCAGCTTCACTCAACTATTTCAAAAGTACTTTTAGAGGAAAGTTGCTCATCAAGATCATAACAATAGGAGAATGACCAGGCAACATTTAGGCAATATTTGGTTATATTGACAGTAAGGACACTCGAATCTTGCACAGTTGACAGTTTTTTGTACTTTTTTAGGTGACTGTAGAACGAGTGCTCTTTGCTGTATAACATACAACATTAGCAGTGGCAGATCTAGGGGAGGAGCCCGGGGGGTCCAGCCTGCCCCCCCTTATTTTGGGTAAAAAAAGAAGAAATCACAGAAGGAAGAGAAGTTGGCAGGGCAAGCAAAACAAACGCCCCCC